ATTCCCAAGAGTTATGCATATTAATGCATAGATTTTGTAAGCATATTTATGTGAAGTGACGTAAAACTACATTTTTGGGGTTTCAATTAACCAATAGTCATGCCTACAAAACTCTCTTGATGCTCTAAGTGCATGTATGTGTTAAATAACGAGTAACTGGTCCACATTATTTTGGTAAATAAAGAAATGAAAAGCAAGCACTTAGCCATACGGATATAGCTACACGGAAGAAGGGAAATAAGGATGACCCATGGTTTTGATGGAAACAATGTGCTCTGGGACGATGCTCACAATGACGAATGGGAGAAACCTCTTTATGAAACATCTTACCTACTAAGGATGAAGCTTAATGTTACAGAACACACACACACACACACACACACACAGTCGAGGACGTAGTGTTCAAGTGTGTGGCCATATGTCTGGACAGGTCCAAGCACACTGTGTGTGAAATGGCACAACACTTCATCTCTAATGCCAAGCTAGCAGACATATTAAGATTGTATCCACTTTTTTGCACTTAGTAACTATATCAGTTCTCATGTACAGAACCAAATACGCAATTTGCTTGAATACTTCTCACGTAAATGTGAATAACAAAGTGTGAGGCCAGACATACTGCCTCACACGCCTGTACTCACGCATTTGTGAATAAGTTACCCTTTATGTATAGAATTAAACAAAGAATGTAATTGAAATACTGTGTAACATTCAGTGCCAAAATATCCTGACAACGGGGATTAATTATTATGACCCGTTGTAAACCCTACTCTGTAATCCTTTTGCGCTATCGCTTACAGGATGAGTGTGGGGTGCACAATAAAGTAGCCGCTGTAAGCGACAAAATCAAAATCAATCAACTTTGTGTGACGCGTTGTCTGACTTGGGGTGGCTTTGAGCGAACCATACACTTGATATTACAATTTATGTATCCTTCCTGTCCATGATTTACAACAATAACTGTAGGGTAAAAGTTACAATATTATACTAATAACACTGTCATGTATTGATACTATGACTAGTTACCAAAATACAGAGCACGATGTACATAACATGATAATGATAGTGAAGCCTGGAAGGGTTCATATCATAACTTGTGTGTTCGTGCGTATGTTGCCCCGTGAGAGTTACCGTGGGCCTCCATGTGCCCAGGTGGGATGGTCAAAGTATTACACTATAAGTGTGTCAAATGAGGAGTGACTGATCCACATGGAATTTAAGGTTTTTGAAATATGTAGTTAAATTAAACACGATTTTTCATATAGTTACGCGAAAGATGGGAAGCATCGTGGTCTGGCACACACACAAGCACTGTAAACGTTGTGTGGACTCACTGGGTGGTTTGGAAGTGTTTATTTCCATTCATACTTTCGTAAATACAACCTATGGTAAATTTTCTTCGTGTTCATATATAATGAAGATAATGCAGAGTATAAAATGCCATATACAATATTTATACATAATGTCATCTATACAGCCGTACTATGACTGTGTGTGTTCTGTGCGTGTGTTGCCTCGTGATAGTTAGAGTGGGCCCCCGTCCAGAAAGGACACTGTACTAACCTCCAGCACCGACCCAGGTGGGCTAGAGAATATGGTTTCCGAGTGTACATCCAGCAGTGGGAAAATTGCCCTAATTTCACAACCTCATTATTCGGACTGACTTAGGAATGCATCCTGTGCATGAATTAGTTACAAGTCGTGATCCTGATGTACAGTAATAAAAGGGCTAGGTGGAGGGTCAAAGAGTGCCAACTATACCAGCTCACAGTTCCACATTGGTAAACACGGCTGAGTGCCAGCTCCCAAATTTAGAATGTTTTCAAGCCTAATTAATACATTTTAAGGATTTATATAATTACCTACATCTCCTTGACACTTCCAGCCTCCACGTGTGAAGTAGAGCGGTTATTAAGTACACTGAGACGTGTCAAGACATGACTTCAATCAACACTGTCAACTGAACACTTGTGTGGGTTGTGCATGCTCCGTGTGCATCGCCAGAAGGTGTTAGATAGAAGAGAAAGTCTCAATTGAAGATGTGATCAAACGTTGTGGAGCTGGTAACTGTGGCCGGCAGTATTTATCTAACCACTGAAATTATGCTGCTAATTTTCTGGGCAAGCCACCATCGCGACAGACAGCTATTCCTAGATTTTTCTGATTAATTATATAAATATAAATATTTTGGATAGTATTTAATGTTTATGGTCAACCCTGTGATAATCTTAGTGATTTGGTGATTATGCTTGATTATTCTTTTATATGGATGTATACCTGTACACCTCTTATGTATAACCTGATGTTAGGTCTTGTCTTGCTTTCTTGGACGTCACATATAACTTAATATAAAAATAAAAATACTAACAATTTATTCACCACGGAGCAGCTAGTATCGAGCAACACAACCTTCCCTCACGGCGTCACTCAGGCAACTGGTACACTTGTCTATGCTGTTTACATCAAGGAATATTATAAGGAGGTTAAAGTCTTTTATTGTCTTTAGCCCCGAGACACGTGTGCCATCTAGTGGGCAGAACAAGCCAGAACTCCATCGGTAACAATTTATTTACTTATTTTACATATTTATCATTTTAACAATTATCAGTTTATTAGCCGTTCGGACAGTCTGTTCTTTGTTAGTTTTGTTAAAAGTCCAGTGTTAGTAGAGGAGGAAACTGTAGTACGGTATTGTTAAGCCGGGGCATAATTTCGTTTAATAATTTTATAAAGTTGGTGTTTTGATTGTTTTCTGTCTCATGCAGCAGTTATTTGGGCAAATTTATGGAGATCTTCTTGTATATATTGATGTATTACTCATGGAAGATTATTCTAGAATGCATTACATTATTTTTGCTATGATTTACTTCTTATTGTAAACCTCGATCAGAGTAGAACGTGTCAGGGTGATGGTGCCATATAACATTTTCTTTTAACACTGTCTCCCCTTTATGTCACCATCAAGTACCAGAACAACTATGTATTAAGGCGGAAATATGAAGAAAAATAAACTTGTGGAAACCTTATCATCAATTAGTCGCTCAGAATCTGGTGTCTTGATGAGTAGTGTAAGTTACCCCTTGTGGTATAACTTCACTATACGTCAAACAACACTAATAACATAATTAGGCTCAAGATTACTTATATATAGTAATTAAAAAAGTACATTTCCTATAATAATTTAATGCATTACAGTTTATCTTTGAATATATTGTGATAAACTCCATTAAATAGCATCATCAAGGGCGTTAAAAAGAAGTTTAATTACATATCAATGAAAAAAAAACCCACGCAGTAAAGGGGGAAATAAATTAGTGTTATTGTATTGTGACCAGGTTGTGATCCACCATTACTGTGTCAATAACAAGTGTGTTTTTATACCCAGGTGAGAGCAGATCATATCACCTATTATCTGATAGTCTGCTGTCAGCTTCCGGTAAAGGTAGGGACCAGTAAACACATCATTAATTTAACAATATTTAATCTCTCTCGTATATAATTTACAGCATCATATATGAACATTGGCATATAACATCCTTCAACATCTTTCAAACTTATTGTAATGTATAAGAATATTCTGCATAACCTATTATATACTGTATATATATATCTCTCTATTGGACACTGGCACAACACCCAAACATATAAACTAAAATATATATATATATATATTTAGAAATACTATAGTTATATACGTATAAATATATAAGGTACATTTGAGGGCAACACCTAAACATATATTTTGATATTATTTTGTTTCTTAAAGTAACATTTAATTATTTTGTAATATATCTCCCTAAACTTAATTTGTATTTCCTTTATTACTTACAACGTAGGTGAACTTAAATGGTTAATATCACATATATATTTCAATAATACTAGCTAACATGTAAAATAAATTAATATAGAAATGAAAAATAAAATCAACACCCAAATTTTATATATAGAGATAAGTTGATAACACAGATAGACCTCTCCTCTAACAAGCAGTAGTGATATAAAAATTATTCTTCAGAAACTTTAATGATATGATCTTTTATACTTGTTAATAATGGTAATAGAAAACTCTTTATTGCACACCTTATTATATATAACATCTAAGTTGTTGACGACGACAGGGAGAGGAAACTGAAGGAGAGGCAATCAGTTCCAAGAGTTTGTTGAACATTAATACACCGAACGAGTTATCACAGACAAGTTCTGACAGAGGTCGCCGAGCATGATGACTCGACGAGAGGAAGAGGGGGAATAAGAAGAGGTGGAGGAGGAGGTGGTGGAAGAGGTGAAGTAGGAGGAGAAGGGGGAGAAGGTAAGGGGTGGTGGAGGAGGAGGTGGGGAGAAAGTAAGGGGAGGAGGAGAAGGTAAGGGTGGAGGTGGAGGAGGAGGTGGGGGAAAGTAGGAGGAGGAAGTGGGGTGGAGGTGGAGGAGGAGGTTAGACGAGAAACACGACGATTTAATATCTGCCGAGTCACAGGTGGTGGGGAGCTGGGGTGGAGGTTGTGGGGGCTGGGGTGGAGGTGGGGGCTGGGGTGGAGGGTTGTGGGAGGCTGGGGTGGAGGGTTGTGGGGGCTGGGGTGGAGGGTTGTGGGGGCTGGGGTGGAGGGTTGTGGGGGGGCTGGGGTGGAGGGTTGTGGGGGCTGGGGTGGAGGGTTGTGGGGGCTGGGGTGGAGGGTTGTGGGGGGCTGGGGTGGAGGGTTGTGTGGGGGGAGGGGTGGGAGGGTTGTGGGGGGCTGGGGTGGAGGGGTTGTGGGGGCTGGGGTGGAGGGTTGTGGGGGCTGGGGTGGAGGGTTGTGGGGGGCTGGGGTGGAGGGTTGTGGGGAGGTGTTGTGGGGGCTGGGGTGGAGGGTTGTGGGGGCTGGGGTGGAGGGTTGTGGGGGCTGGGGTGGAGGGTTGTGGGGCGCTGGGGTGGAGGGTTGTGGGGTGGCTGGGGGTGGGGTTGTGGGGTGGCTGGGGTGGAGGGTTGTGGGGGGTGGAGGGTTGTGGGGGGCTGGGGTGGAGGGTTGTGGGGGGGCTGGGGTGGATGGTTGTGGGAGGTTAATCCGAGGTAGTAGAGACTGATGTGTGTGTGTCAAGTCTTTTTACAATACATATGTGTGTGTGTGTGATAGTAGATGGGGTCATGATGGTTGACTGGTTGACTGGTTGGATTCTATCACCTGGAGTCACATACAATATCTTGGTCATAGACGCCTGGATGACGATGAGATGGATGTGTGTACTGTGTGTGTGTGTGTGTGTGTGTGTGTGTGATGGATGCTGGACTGCGATGGACAATTATGTAGTTTCTTATTTGTGTTGTCGATACCCTGTAATTTATGTACATTATTATTAGCATTATTATTATATATATATTTGTATAATAATTTCGTCTGGGATCATAAAATTCCCAGAAAGGAAATATTCTTGATAAAATCCGCGACATTTAATATCAAGCGAGAACGAATACGACATGTAAAGTGATTTTATTTTTCACATCCGGACGACCGCCATAACACCACGGACAGTTGACGAGTGGTGTCGACATCAGCTGCCATTGACTCACGAAGGTCTTGTTGGAGTCTTAAGTCGACTGGTCGCCAATTTGGAAGACAAATCGACGCCCTGGAGAGCTAGTCGATACCGTGGGCGGCAAGTGGTCGACCTCTCGTAAGGATGGTGCAGCATACGTGGCCTGTGGGAGTGGTCGACGCCCCAGGAGGTGGATCTACATCTCAGATGAAATGTCGATGTCCTGAGGTGTTGCTGGACACCGTCAGGAGCTGGTCGACTGTTACATGACATGAGAGGTTCATTCCTCAGCCAGTGGTCAATTTCCTGATGGACTGGTCAACGCTCTGGAGTACTGGTCGACGCTCTGGAGTACTGGTCAACGCTCTGGAGCACTGGTCAACGTTCTGGAGGACTGGTCGACGATTTGGAGGCTTGGTCGACGCTCTGGAGTACTGGTCGACGACGCGGAGAACTAGTCGAGGTCACAGTGCCGCCCGAGCCTGCTTCAGTGTGGTCATATCCGGTAGGTGAATCTAGAGATGAAATGTAAGTTGTCAAATACTTGGGGATAACGTCAGATACTGTAATTATTTAACATTAATTTTATCGTGCCTTAACTCCCTCCTCTTGCTTTATACTACACGTATACATTATAATATATTACGCTTGTGAATGAAAGAGATGGATAAATAATTACAACTTTTTTAGTACGAAATCGGTATCGTTATCTTAGTTGATAATGATAAATCATTCTACTTAAATTTTCACAACAGATCAGAATAGTTTGGAGCATAGTTTACTACTCTTAAGCTGTGACAATATTGTTCATCTCTCTGAGCTGCCTCGAATGTTTACAAACAAAAGGTGAGGTTGGCTGATACTCACGGGGTCTCCGGACGGTTTGTACTCTGTCTTATGTTTGGTAGACACATGACACGGTGTTGGGTCGTCAGAGGTGAGACAAAGAAGGTGATAAGAGACACAAACACCCTCAGAGAGAAGACGTGGCTCTACGGGGGTGACGAAATCAGTGTTGCAGTGAAGCTAATAATGGTGCCAGCACCTTATTGCAGAAACGGGCGTACACACTGAAGACAATTAGACTTCAAGTGAGCGCCAGTAATGTGTCCAAGATACTGGTGTGTACAGTACATACACCAGATATGTAATGAAGACTCTGACTGTACACTAAAGACAACCGGAGTATTGGTGAAACAAAACAAAGTCACCAGGACCCAACACCACACGAGACCTCCTGCTTAAGAGTCCCTGTAGTCGTCCCGGGGGTAGGTGGGCGACATGGGGGGCCAGTCTAGAGGAGGAACATGATCACACTGAGTACTGAGGCCGTGGTGGAGTGTGAGGACAGCAAACATAACATAAGAGACAATTGTTACATCTTGTACTTGAGTTTTAATTTTTCCTTAAATCTAGATAAAGTTTTATCCAGTGTTATGTCTCACAGTGAAAGTCTTAGTGGCTGGATGATGTATTTCACAGTACTTGTTAGGGGAATTAACTTAATGTTCTGATAATGAGAGACCTGAAGAAACATCAAAGACTCACCTGAGTAACTTGTTGAGGGTCTGGCACCATCCTCGAAGAAGGTTGAGTGAAGGGAGTACAGGGTAGAGGGGTCAAGGCTGGCGTAGGGCGGAGGGACGCTCATGGCGGCCCCTAATGAAGGTTGCTGGTGGTAACGCTGCTGTTGTTGCAGGAAGTACTGATCATCTGTCTGTGGTTGTTGGTAGTCGACGGATGAGGACAGCTGCCGAACTAGCGGGTACTGGAACACGTGTCGTCCCCTCTGCTGGTAATGTTCTCGCTCGTGTTGGAGGTGAGGATGTCCGTGGAAGATGACCTGAGAGGGACGCCTGGGCAAGGTGTAGGTCTGCTGTGGCTGGTAAGGACGGCTGTTGAGGAGTGATTCCATACTGCGGAATGTTGACGCAGAACTGTGGCCGACGGGTCTGGGAAGGTCATAGGAAGACTGGTGACAGAGGAGGTGGTCGAAGGGAGATCGCTCGAAACCCGACTGGTGGCAGGTTGGCAGGTCGGCCTCCAGGTTAGCCCACGAGTCTCCGTCATGGAGGGAGTGATGCTCGTGGTCGTCTGGGGAAAGAAACACCAACAATATTATCAGATTAATGTACTGTAGTTTCTCTCTCCAACGACGCGCCATTACGAGAAGCCATTTATATCTCTATACTAACGTTCTGATACAAGTGACACCCATTATCGCACACCTGACCCCTGGATGACCTCGGCTCTGTGGGGTTAAGTCACATGTATAACCATCTCTACATATCTCAGCTACTGACCGTCACTGTGTTGGGCAGTCTTCCGCCAACGCCAGAAGGAATGGTTAAAAAAAATCCTCCATTAAAGTTTACTTATTTGCTTGAAACTTAACGTCAATACTTTGTGAAAAAATTAAATCAGTAACAAAAGTTCCACCCCGGGGCTACAGACCTACAAGTTACCAGAGCCAACAAGACCTGACCGATACACACTGGCCTACCGTACAAGTGACAGGCTTACCAGCACCAATGTTGACGATGCCGCTGGAGAAGTCGTCAGGAGGAGCGATGATGTCGGCGCCGCTGTTGGAGATAGTGCTGGAGGAGGTGAGCATGGGGCTACTCCTGGCTAGTGAGGGAGTACCGCGGGAGCCAGATGGTAGAGAAATATCCTGAAGACTCCCGCCGAAGGGATCAAGATGACATGAGCCCATCACCTGCTGTAAAAACACAAAAACAGATACGTAGATATACATTGTTAACCACTTGATGACTGTAGAACATAATTTAATGTTTTAGAAGAAAAAATAAACAATAAGTTTTATTTTGTTCAATATTTTCAATTTAAAAGTTTATTCTTTCTTTCATAGACTGAATTAAGATGCAATATTAAACCGATATATATTAAATATTAAGCAAGTTGAAACAGGACGTAATTAATGAGACCTTTCTCTTACAAACAAAGATGGAACGTGAACAGGAAAATTGAACAAGTTGAACAGTGACTGAATCCAAGAGAACCATTATCCTGCATTAAGCTACACACTACGGAACACACACAGTAACGAAGACCTGAACGAGATGATAACAACAAGTAGTTGGTTGTCACGAAGCTCATAATATATTTAGTTAACAAGCGATGCGTTATTTATAATGAACACTAAACGGCCTTGACGAACAGAAGGACAGGAATAAATACCAAGAAGGAGAGAGAGAGAGAGAGAGAGAGAGAGAGAGAGAGAGAGAGAGAGAGAGGAATTAATCTACCGAGGATGATGCAAGGGTAAAAATTAATGATGGGAGGGTATTTACTGCAAGGAATTTTATCAATATTAACTCGACAAGCTGAGGAGTGAGTTAGGGAACAGAATAGGACGGTAGGTAGTGTGATGGGACGGTAGGTAGTGTGATAGGACGGTAGGTAGTGTGATGGGACGGTAGGTAGTGTGATGGGACGGTAGGTAGTGTGATAGGACGGTAGGTAGTGTGATGGGACGGGTAGTGAGGACGGCAGGTAGCGACAGGATTGCAGAAGTGATGTGACCTGCAGGCAGTGGACGGGATCTGCAGGTGGTGTGATGACGGCAGGTAGTGTGATGACCTGCAGATGTGATCTGCAGGTGGTGATGGACGGTAGTGGACAGATTTGCAGGTAGTGTGGATGACTTGCAGTGATAGGATCAGGTAAAGGATAGATCTGGCAGGTAGTGACGGGACCTGGCAGATGGGACGCAGAGAAAAGTGACGGGACCCAGGTGATAGACTGGCAGGCAGTGACAGACCAGGCAGTGATGACCTGCAGGAAAAGGATGACTGGCAGGTAGTGTGATGATCTGCAGGCAAGACAGGATCTGCAGTGAGGATGACCCAAGGTGAAGATGGGACGGCAGGTAGTGACGACCCAGGTAGTGTGATGGGACGCTAGGTAGTGTGATGGGACGGTGTGATGGGACAGTAGGTAGTGTTGTACAAGAAGATCAGTGTTGTTATAGAGGAAATAATTTACAATATCTGTGGGAGAGACACACCGAGCTCTGGGTTTGTTGCTTCTGTAGTTAAGTTAAAAAGAATAGATTGAGAGGATAATTAGATCTGTTGGTGGCGTGTGTGTGTGGAGACGGTGGATGAAGGCGACAACTTTGATATCATCGTTAAGTGTAATAAAGGAAGATCAAAGGCGTTAACAGTCTTGGTAATAATACAATACTGACAGGAGAAAGTGTCAGTGTGAATTAGAAGCTTTAACATAAGACAGATATCACAGAGAAGAATGTTTTGAGAGTTACGGGAGGAAGAATGATCAGAAATACTGTATGTTACTCGTGTTTGAGATGTGAATGTTTGTCGTTTATGAAGTATTTATCTAGAAAAACTGAAAAGGAAAGAAATTAAAAGGTGTGATTATTGGAGAAGGTCATCCTAAAACAGACACTGTGTGGAGGTATTTGGGTGAGGTCGATGACGATTAGAATTATGATAAAATATTCACTGGTGAGACTGCATGCTGAGTAATGACAGGGAGATTATTTAAATATAGTGGGGTTTATTTAAGAATGGATGGGGGGACTCATAGTCTTAAGACGAGAGGGAGAGGCAGTGGAGAGAGGCCGGGGGGAGGGGGTGATGGAACTTTAGCTCTTGAAGAATTTACAGAAGGAGTACAGCATTAAACAAGGACTGAAGCAAAATATACTTCATAGCTATGGTTGGTTGAGCTTTAATGCCCAGAAGCTTGTGGCGCTCCGGGTGCTGTGGGAACAGAACATGAAAACGGTTCTTTTTATGGGTTGAAGAGAGAGGAGAGCTAGGATCAGGTTGGGAGGGAGAGACGATGCCTGGGTCGAGGGTTGAGTCCTGAACTACACGGAAGCGTAGATCTTAGGCCTTTATAATAAGGGCTGTTAATGGTGGTGGTGTGGCAGGCGGTAAGATCAACTAACTCTAGTGACAGTACAGGTAACCAATTCCGAGGACCCGGGTATATGTGTTTGCATGTGTGTGAGCGTGTGGGCGTGTGTGTGGGTGACTGTGCACATTGGTGTTTGTCATTGTTTGCCTCGAGTGTCTACCAGTTGTGAGGTGTGGTGTTGGGAGTCACTCAGCCTTCTCGTGGCCCTGGACTAGCCAACTCTCTCTCTCCCCGAGGACACCCCGCCTCACACTGAGGTGGGACACTATCGGCGTGCACCATGACGGACAAGCAGGTGAGAGAGGGGACCCGGGTAGCGGAGTTGTTACCTGATGGACGAGCGGAGGGGTTACCTCGTAGTCTGGCGGTGGGATGTCGTCAGACGAGCTGAGTGACAGCTGGTCCATCAGGGAGGGTGACGGCACCTCATAGGCCGACGACTTGGTCGACGACGCTGACATGGTGAGAAAACTTTATTATCTGCCTCACAACACCTCACATTATCAGGTGTTTTAGGTAGGATGAGCTTACGACACAACACAAGTTTCTGTGTACTGAAGAGCAGCTAATGTTCACTAACTACCATACACTCTGTTGCTAACTTAGACAAAATTAAGGAGATAATAAAGTTTCTATTGTGTTCTTCACCTCTTACTGGTCTATGTTGTTCCTGCCATAACATGAACACGTATAACAACAGAAGGAATTATCAGAACAACAAACTAACTATTTAGGTTTTAGAGTAAGACTTTACTTTACTTTACTTTACAAACGTGCACGAGTATGATAAACCCTATAAGAATAATTAACGTCACTTATGGCTGAAATCAACAGACTTATTCCTTGTGATAACCAAAGCTCATCCTCCCACTGCCACCAACCCTGATAACTGAAGGTCTTAGCTGCCAAACACACACAATAAACAAAATGAATTACAGTTATATTCACCCCCATTCATTTACATATTATCACGATGAATAATATAACATGACACAATATGTTAAACTTTAGGACATATTTTCTACCATAATTTTATAAGAGAATGAAATTATTTTGTTTAACAGTTTTCAATTTATTATAAACATGTACAAATTTATACATCTAGATAGATAGATAGATAGATAGATAGAGAGAGAGAGAGAGAGAGAGAGAGAGAGAGAGAGAGAGAGAGAGAGAGAGAGAGAGAGAGAGAGAGAGAGAGAGAGAGAGAGAGAGAGAGAGAGAGAGAGAGAGTTACCCGAGAGAAAAATAGAGAAAATGAGACATAATCAACAAAGAACTGATATAACTCAACAGAAGACAAAATGAAGACTCACCTCTAAATCCACGGAACACAACACGACGGCGGAGGAAACACAGGACACCAATCACGTTCAGGACAATCAGAACGCCTCCAGTGACGGCAATCAGGACGAAGACAACGAATGGCATCCCCTTTGGCCTGTCTTCTGTATCAGTCTTGTCTTCCACCATATCTAAGGTGAGGAAAAGGAGAGGGGGGGTGGTGGTTAAGGGTTTGTCCTCAGTAGAAGTTGAGATGTGATGTCTGATTGTGTGATGTCTGATTGTGTGATGTCTGATTGTGTGATGTCTGATTGTGTGATGTCTGATTGTGTGATGTCTGATTGTGTGATGTCTGATTAGTTATGATTATCTTGTTTTTGGTCTCCTTTATATACAGATAAGTAGAGAAGGAGAGACAAAGAGAGAGACAGACATATTGGACACCCGGATGTAGAGAAAGAGACATATTGGACACCCGGATGTAGAGAGAGAGACATATTGGACACCCGGATGTAGAGAGAGAGACATATTGGACACCCGGATGTAGAGAGAGAGACATATTGGACACCCGGATGTAGAGAGAGAGACAGACATATTGGAAACCCGGATGTAGAGAGAGAGACATATTGGACACCCGGATGTAGAGAGAGAGACATATTGGACACCCGGATGTAGAGAGACAGACATATTGGACACCCGGATGTAAAGAGACAGACATATTGGAAACCCGGATATAGAGAGACAGACATATTGGAAACCCGGATGTAGAGAGAGAGACATATTGGACACCCGGATGTAGAGAGAGAGACATATTGGACACCCGGATGTAGAGAGACAGACATATTGGACACCCGGATGTAAAGAGACAGACATATTGGAAACCCGGATATAGGTGAAAATTCTACTGGAAAAACATCCGCTGTCAACTGTATAATAAAATTAGTTTAAAAAAATGACGAAGTTAACAAAATTAAATCATGATAACAGTTTAAGCGGAACAAACCGAACAGCGGTACGAGACCTTGTACACCAGGCGGCCAATAGGGGGGAAATATATATATGTGGGTGATATTAAAACCGTTTAGTATTTAAATTGGTTATTGAAAGGACGAGTGGTTGAATCTAGAGTGCTTGATGGTGCTGCAGCGTCACCAGATATTGAGATATAGGAATTTCCCCCCTCAGGTTTTCAGGGGGGGGGGGGTGAAACTGATACTAATATGGAAAAAATAAAGGATTTTCAGTATTATATGCATATTATTTGGAATGCACTTTTTGAGGCAGACAAACTTGGAAAGAAGGGGGGAATGACATTCTGACATATGGTGAAAGGGGTGCATGGGACAAACAAGGTTGAGAACCACTGGTCTAGGGTGAATTAAACGACAGTCACCAGTCACTCACCACTCATATTGATGACGACGGGGGGAGAGGTGTGGTACGAGCGACCCATATCGTTGTAGGACTGAATGCTGAAGGAATACTCGGTCCCTGGTTTGAGTCCTTCGATGACCAAGCCTGAGGTGTTGGTGCCGGGGATGTCGACCAGCTGCACGGGAGCGGGAGGAGCGAGATTCGATATGAGGAACTGGCTTGCCATGCTTGTATCATCCAACTGTAAACAGGATTGAGGGAAGGGGCAGGATAGGGTAGAGAGGGGAGGAACCACGTATGAATCATGAGGTAATTGGCTATCGTTACGTGACAGTGGTGTAAGAATGAGTGGCGGTGGGTGGTTGTGTGGGACCATTAGTATAGGTGTTAAGTGCGATTGACCTTTAACTTCCCCAGAGAGGATAACCGAGGTGCAGTAGTGATGATAACAGGTTTATTCTGGGGGGTTTAGTTTTATTGTCTTGGTCTACCTGGGTTCTCCTCTCTGTGTTATAACTAGCGCACCTGTACTCCCACGTAGAGATAGCCTCTTACACACACAAGCAACATGCCAAGGGTGTACCACTTCACTAACCTCCCCTAAAAATATCTCTCCATAACACACGCAGTAACACCTCTCTTAATCCATCCACTAGTTTGGGATGTGTTAATAAAACCCCTGAGGTGTTATACAACTCTTGTTGGTGGGAGAGTGGCATGTTTAGTGATGTACATTGAATACTGCTAGTTATTACAGGGTGGGGAGGAGAGAAAGAATCAAATCAATTCACTCAACATTTAAAGAACTCTCAGGACACCTCTGTGAAACAAAACATGTTATCTCAGTACAAGACTGACGCATGTCCTGTTCTTTGTTACATGTGAGTCTGTGTGTGTGTGTGTGTGTGTGTGTGTGTGTGTGTGTGTGTGTCTCTTGTGTGTGTGTGTGTGTGTGTGTGTGTGTGTGTGTGTGTGTGTGTGTGTGTGTGTGTGTGTGTGTGTGTGTGTGTGTGTGTGTGTGTGTGTGTGTGTGTACATGCAAGAGTAAAAATATAAAAACTACATAATATTATATAAGATCACCATTAGTGTGACGGGACATTATATACTAATAAATATATAATGAACATCTTCTATAATAAGGAAACATTTATATAAACATTTAACATAAAGATAAATAAAACACCTTGGCATTGATTCTCTCTGTAGTAAAGCAACAATCAGACCTCAGGTGTTTACTGGAGCGTTCTCACCCATAAACACACAAGGCTCTCTCATACATGTATATATGAGTGTTAAGAGTCATGTGTCTCTCACCTGGTAACATACGTAACACATTAAACTGAGAAACACTGAGCAAAACGTGTGATGGCAGTGAGAGAAACATAACTATGGTCTTCACTTTAATAAACTAGTGAAAGAGACAGGCGTCGTCTCTTACCTCGTACTGTCGCTGGTCTGTGGTCCGGTATCTGATGGTGTATCCCGCCGTGGTTGTCGCCGCCGTGTTGTCCACCCACGTCAGTTCAACACTTGTGTCGTTCAACACCGTCACCTGCACCACGTCACACATCAATGTATCTTATTTCCTAGATAGTGACCATGTATACTACTGATATAGCTCATGTATAACTGTTAATATAGTTCATGTATAATAAATGATACACTCAGACAACTATAATCTAAACTACATCACACATACACATAAAATACTTGTAGTATGACTGTTTAATTTATGTTTACTTATAACTAAACCCTGACGAAGGAGGAGATATACTTCACACAAGGCGGAGGAAGGCAGAGGAGCTTACATTGAGACTGAGGGGCGTGCCAGGGTGTGTGGGCGGGTTGAGGGTGTAGTTGAGGGTGTGGGAGCCGAGGGGGTTGTAGGCGACGCAGATGTAGCTGGTGAAGTCCTTGGCAACGACGTTCCTGATCTCCAACACAGATGACCACTCCGCCACCCCGTCCATCAGCTGACGAGAACCATAACAAAGTTTGGTTACACGCGTGATGCTTACAATGTAATAGATGGTTGTGATGATGACGATGATGATGACGATATACAGTAATAAAGTAATACAAAAACTAGTAATGTAACACTTCAATGATAACTTAAAAGAGTATATATTGGTATAGAACTTAAAACAAATACATGAAGTCACATAAAACGATGAGGTAAAGTTATAGATAGGGAGTAAGGATGCAATAATTCAATAACAGTTTGTAAATATATCACTGTAGGTGTTGCTACGTAAGGCCCAGAGAGACAGACAAGTGGACACGTTACTCTGAAGACCCTAAGACACGTGAAGACCCTCCTGCAACACGTACCTGAGGGAGGTGGATGTCATACTTCCTGTCGCTGTCGCTGATGGGGCCGTCCTCTGTGATCCATTCAAAGGCTGGTTGAGGAGAAGCCTTAACGCGACAGTCCAGGAGTCCACTACCTCCCACCAGCGCCCATGACTTCCCTGCCACTTCCTCCTCCTCCAGCCTGGCGCTAGTATATGTGGGGCCTTCTGCAGATGTGAAAAGGAGTAGTTTGTTGAATATGAGGAAGGTGTGGGACCTAACAACATACCTACCACTATCCACCTATCCTATCTCGTTTGACTTATTCAGTTTTGTTGCTTTAGTCAGACTCAGTAACACATGCCATAGCCCTCTTTGCTCTCTGGTAGCTGCTGAACTTGTCCCCACTTGACCCACACAAACAACACTGACCATACAGACGGACAAGAGGCTGTTACTTAACTTTATCTCAGAATAAAATAAATGTTTCTCACTTAAATTATTAAAGGCGATGTTTGCTGAAGCTAATTTTCTTCCATCTGTTTCAGTTCACAGTTCCTTACCACACAATTTTAAAGATTTATATTTCTTTAACAAACAGCCATTACTTCCATCTTTACAACATTATCTCTAAGCTAATGTTCTTTACCTTTTTCACTAATGTATTGACCTGTTTTTATTACGTCTCTTCACAATATATCATCTACTGTACATAATGCTGACTCACTGACACAGGTAAACAAACTCCCAGAAGGTTATGTTCGTCCCGTCTCTGTGTAAACATAAAAAATAATGTTTCTCGAGCTCAGTGGTAAGTTTGTTTTGCTTCCATGGCGCCTTGTGTTTTAACTGTGTAAACTTACGTGTGACAACGATGGCGGTGGTGGCGGGGGGAGGGGAAGAGACCACGTTGGAGGCGTGGCAGTAGTAGACGCCCGTGTCTGAGGGTGCCGCCCACTCTACCACCAGATGAGCTTCGCCCATACCCCACGACAAGGTCTGTCTGTAATGTAAATGATAAAACACAGGTGAAAAACAGAGAGAGAGAGAGAGAGAGTAATTATCAACAAGGAACCACACATATACTAAACATATAAAGACACTCAGTTGTGCTTCTCCTCACAGCTCTTGGCCTGGTCTCCACTACCCGCCAGAACACTTCCTCAGTGATCACAAACAACAACAAGAACATCAACATAAACGAACAGAAATGTCTAAAGATTCATAAACATTATACAATAACAAACGCTTTACGTCTCGTGTATGGGAGTTTAAATCAAGATGAAATTTTATGAAATCCATTTCCTCGAATTGTAATATTAGAAACATTAATACGACTCCAATAGCTGCATTGTTAAACTAACTAAGTATGGCATTACAAAGCCAGGCGCTCGTTTGAGTAATTCGGTGAATAATGTGTATTGCTTCACTCACACAAAGGCTTCAAGAAGACCCAGTAAGTAAAGAAAACAGAACAATGAAGTTACGATATAATGTGTTTCAATTATATCATCAGTATCTATGTAAATATTTGTTTATGTAAACTCATGTAACTAAACCCATTCTGTGTTTAACATTCAGGAAGGTAATACATCGTGGAGGGAAGGTTATAGTGGCAGGCTGTTTAATAGTTATCTATGATCACTTATCACCTGTGTTGTGGTGTTATCAGTGTCTCAGGTGATCAATGATTCACGAGGTAGTTTATCCCATTAACTAAGGAACACCGTCTACCATCTGTGTCCTGGAGTGAATCATCAGCCCAGTCTCATCTACTTTATGGGAGGAGTTTTAACACTGGTCGACAGGTGTGGTGATGTTGTCAACTTACCTGGTGCCTTCAACCACCCTGGTCCAGGTGATGTTAGGTGTGGGGTTGCCGACAGCAGAGCAGAGGACTGTGGCTGTGTCGTTCTGGTCCACCAACACGCGGGAGGCTGCAGTCACGTTCTCTGGTCCGTCTGTTGAACATAATCATTATACTCACGTCTCTTTTGTTTAGTATTTCACACAACATATACACGTGTTCTAAGTAAGGGTTATATTTGATCGATTATATGTTGGCAGACAGAGAGAGATAGTTATTAATTGAAAGAAAATAATCTTAACTGAAAAATTATCAAATATCATGCAGACAGAAAAAACTGACTCCAACCCTAAACTACAACACGCGCCGACCTAAACAGTAATGGGCGAGCGAGAGCCACACACTCGCTCCCCCTTAACGTGTAGGCGGGCGGGCTAAAGATGAACACATATTTCCATCTTGCTCTTTAAAACAAGAGTAGAAAGAGAGACGGAGAACTAAATGTCATTTCATGAGTTAAATGTCACTTACACTGGACGTCGATGATGAAGGAGGCGATGATGGTGCCCTTGGCGCTGGTGGCCGTCACGGTGTATGTGCCTGCCATATGACGCCCCACACGATCCAGCTTAAGTTCCCCGACATTGCCTTCTCCAGTAGCAATCTCTCCCACCACCTTCCCAGTCTCATGCATCCAGCTGTACCTGTGAACGATCCAACACTGTTAATAACTCGTGCCCTTGAACCCAGCGGTGTCGTCCAACATTTTTCTCAGATCATTTTTAGTAACCAGACGAAACAATGAAAGTTATTTGTCATTTTGATACCTATATCTCCCGAGCTGAACTGACAAGACGAAGAACTGTTTGTTTGGTAAGATGGAGACATACATTTCATTGCTAGACAACGAGGACCTGACAGAGGTAATGGAGATGTGTCTGAAGGGCGCGGACCAACTGTCGAGTTGATTAATTTTCCGGCTGGGTGGAGACCACTCAGACCTTTCGGAAGAGACGAAGCTTTTCAAAGGAAAGGAAGACCTTCCTGACGGGATGAAGACCTCTGGCGGAACTAGGACCTTTCTGATTGAATGATAATATCTTTCAGATAGGACGAGAACCTTTCTAAAAAGACTAGAACTTTCCAGTCAGAAGGAGGACCTGACTTAGAGAATAAGAACCTTCACAAATAAAATAAGAACCTTTCAGACAGCAGAAGGAACTCTCTGACGGGGTGAAGGTCTACAGTACTCAGTGGAAGGTGAGGCCAGAACCTATCTGATGGAGGGAGAACATACCTGAGGAGTGTTTAACTGTGGCCGAGACCTTTCTGGTGAGAACAGAATCTTCCCTATTGCGTCACGACAAACCTGACAAGGACTTACTTAACTGGGCGACAATAGGGCAGGACCTACTGTACTGTACATATATAGCTATGAACTCATATGAGGGGTCAATAGTGTCAGGACCTACGACAACTTACTTGATAGGTGTAGGGTTGGCAGCGGCCTCAGCTGTGATGGTTAGATCGCCCCCTTCAAGTACATCCAGTTTGCCTGACGGAGCGAACACCCACACCGGTGAGTCTGTAATATAGGTAACTTTGTTGACCGTTGGAGGAGTGTTAGAGTGCGAGAGGGAATAGTGGATGGGAGTGCAGCTGTGCGAGAGGAGAGGCGAGTGGGAGAGGGCGGTGTCAGGCTCTGTGGGGGGGTGGGGTGGGGAGGAGTCAGTTGAACTAGACTGACCAACCACATTGAAACATATCGTTTTACTATCTCTGGTAACACCTGACACCTGGCCTTCAGTACAAACCGACAAAACTAATCAACACCATTAAAATAAATCTGTTTACTAATCATGTTCTCATTTTGTGAACTAAATATCTCAGGAAACATTGAAGAACAATTATAACACTTGTGGGGGATTTTCTGCAGTGAAGAATGTATATTGTCTGGATACATTCCGTGGAAGGCATTTAAACAAGTCCTCTGGTGTGTAACGTTCAAGTGAGCGACACAACCACCGGAGGACAGTGTGGGAGGACTCAACCCAAACGTAAACAAACATGACGAACACAATGAAGACAAGATAAACAACGTCAAGATTTAACTCTGTCTAGGCAACCAGAGGAAGGAAAATGTGAGACAATAATAACAAAAATAATAATAATGAAACAACAGAGTGGATGATACAATTTAGACGAAGATGATTGTGAGACGGAAGAGAATATTATGGTGATTGTCTGAGAGAAAGACAGACAGACAGACAGACAGACAGACTCACGCAGCACGTTGAGAGTAATGTTGGTGGTGACGCCGACGCCAAAACCGTTCTCAGCTTCACAAGATATTATCCGCCCGTTGTCTTCAGCCTTAACCCTTACCATCACCTTGGACCTGAGAGAAAAAATAAGGTAAAAATTCAGTAAAAAATTGGTAATAAATAAATAAAAAATAAGGTAATAATAAGGTAAAAATGGCTAATCAGATTTTCTATTATATAAAATTAATCCGTCACAATAAAATTAATATATAAAGACACTTAAATATATATATATAGAGACTAGGAAAAAAAACATTTTAATGGGCCCTTAAAAATGACCTTGAGAAAATTTTTAGGGATAAAGATATAGAGATAAAGAAATAAAGAGAGAAAGTGATAAAAATGTGAGATTGAGGAATTAAAACACCCAGAGAGAGAGAGAGAGAGAGAGAGAGAGAGAGAGAGAGAGAGAGAGAGAGAGAGAGATAAATAAAATGAGAAAAAGAGAGAAAAAGGAAGAAAAAAGAGAAAAAAATTGAGAGAAAGAGAAGTTCAGTGGGAAAGAGTATCTCTCTCTTTCTCTCTTCCTGTAAGACTCTACGCCCCCAGAGAGACAACTTGACATAGAGGCTCCCCTTCCTGCAGGCTGGGTGACCTTCTCTACTGGTGAATGAAATGAAGGAAGGGAGGCTAGTAGGGTGTCCTTCTGAGTGGTGGCATAACCCATCGGGTGCCATAACCAACCACTTGCCATAACTCACCTGGTAACAGTGCCACGGAAGAGCCCTGGGGTGCGCCTGACAATGGGTTCCTCCAGGGATTGGGTGCCAGAGTGCCAGTTGACGATGGAGGGTGGCACATGATGACATCTACACAGGTCAACAATACTTGACAACCTCCCACACTATCAGAGACTGGCTGATCCACCTCCGGGGACTGTAGGAACAACAGGTGATGAGTGAGGTGAGTGAGTAAGAATGTGGTAGAATTAGTGAGGAAATGGGATGGTGGGAATGAGGATGGGAGAGTAAGGTGTGGTGGAAATGAGATGATTAGGATGCTGAAGGGCCAGTGGAATGAGAATGAAATAGGGTGGAGGTTGAGATAAATGAGAATTAAACATGGGGATGGTAGTGAGGCTGAGGAGGATGACTATTCAGCAAATGCAGGATGACTAATTATGAACACTGCAGTATATGGAGGGCGCCACTTTAAGCTTCCAGCATGTACGGGGCAACAAGGCAGGGGACGGGTCGTGTTGGCGCAGCGATGCTTAAATGATGGCGCACGGGAAGAGCAGCGTGGTGGAGGAGGAGTGGGAGAGGTGAGGAGTGAGGGGGTGAGAGAGGGTGAGGGACTCGGCGGGGTGTGAGAGGGAGAGGCGTGGTCAGGAAGGGAGAGGTGGGAGGAGCCTATGATGGAACAGTGCGGTAAGAGAGAGGTGAGATGAGAGTAAGAGGCGTGGCCAGGTAAGGGACAGGTGGGGGTGGAGGAGGAGAAAACGCGCGCAGGTGAGAGAAAGGAGGGGGAGGAAGAGAGGGAAGAGAGATGAGGAAAGAGGGGAGATTACTGAATGGAGGCGGGCGTGTGGGCGTTGGATGAGGGTACACAGAGAGAGAGAGAGAGAGAGAGAGAGAGAGAGAGAGAGAGAGAGAGGATTACACTCTCACTGTACCAACGAGACAGTCTTCTGACAGGATATGAGGAAAACTTCTCAGGCAGGGAAAAAGTAGGAGGATACTGTGTCTGAAAGGTAGAGAAGAAGGGAGAGAGTGAGGGAGAGTGAGTTGGTATGAGACAGGAGGGAATGTGAATATTATTGACACACACACACACACACATAAACACACACACACACACACACACACACACACATACACACACACAGGGAACGTTTGTCGACCACCACATAAGCTCGTTAGGTGAATATATTACTAAAACGTAATAAGAATTTCAACCACAATCGCATATAGTATTTTTTTTTAATTAAACCTTAACAATCCGATAATTATTCAAAAAACAAAATTATGTAAACTTTTAAAGGTGACTAAGATAACACAGGAAAAAGACCATGTTTATTAATATTGTCCATAGCTTCCAATTTGTATTATTTTTCAACCACATTACATCAAGCCTCAAAAAATATATAAATTGTAATAGTTAAATGGAAAGTGACATAGATTATTAGAATATACTCACAATAATCTTAAAATTGGTACAAGTTGACGTAAATAAACCCGGGTTAAGTGTTTTAAGTAATGGCTACCATTTTACCTGTGTATCTTAATGACTTGCTTGTTATACCTTCAGGAATGTTTGTTTACAGGTGAAGAACACGATGGAAAGTTAGGTGGGGAAAGGCTATAGCTCGAGTCTGTACTGGTGGAGTTAAACGACAGGCGATGTTGATTGCCTACCCTGGCGTTGTGCATGTGGGGTGAATCTCTGAGAGTTGGTGAATCGTAGTGAACAATAAGAGGAGAGGGGAAAATGCCAGATGGTGTGTTGAGTGTTCGTGGTGGCCTGTGTGTGTGTGTGTGTGTGTGTGTGTGTGTAGGTGAGGCAGGTGTAGTAGAGAAGGGGGAGGGAAGGAGGGGAGGGAGGAGGGACACGGTAAGAGGGATGGGGGGGTGGGTGTGATGGAGGGGAGGGGGAGATGTAATAAGACTCCAGAAAAGGATTGAAACCACGAAAGAACTTATTTACAATCGGGTTATAAACTACACACCACACCCACCACCTGCTCTCTCTCCCACACACACACACACACACACACACACACGCCTGTTAATCCGATTTATTTAATTTTACTGAAACACCCACTTCCGAATTGAATAAATGAAAAAAAAAAAACCACACCGAAAACACAGCAATATATTTTCTGCTCTTTTTCATGTAGGCCAGGTAGAGTTTGCCATTAATTACTCCCTAACAGTTTACCTTTACCAAATAAATGAATGTTTGGATGTAGTGAAGGTTAACAGTGCAGGTGCTGGGGATTAAACTACAACACGAGACCAAACAGAACACAGTGTACCATTCTCTCTTGTTCATTTACCATTTGTTTAACTTTTTCATTCAGCATTTTTTTGTGTGTTAATATTTTTGTTTTAATAATTGATAAAAAAGTTTGTGTTTATTAGAATATTGTCCTTACGTTATTTTACCATATATACTTAGTATGTCTCCTTCCTTCCTCCTTACACCCTTTCCTACTCCTTCCTCTCCTCCTCCTCCTTCCTTCCTTCCTCCTTACACCCTTTCCTACTCCTTCCTCTCCTCCTCCTCCTCCTCCCTCCTTTCCTCCTCTGTTAAAAACAATCACTGAAATCTCAGAAAACAATGAATTGAGGAAATATTACTCAAGACCCCATAAATATTATTCAATACCCTAACCACAGAAAAATGTACCTAAATTTAAACTATATTCCCACAATGACGTAATTGGTAGTACAAAACTAAATATATCATAAAAGATAAGAAAAGTCGATACAAAAATCACACAACTTCGTTTAAGTATTGGGTGGGGTCAGGTTAGGTTAGGTTAGGCTGGATGGTTTTAGCAGCTCAGTTCACATCCTCATCCTGGTAGGCTGCGAACACTAGGGAAACTGGGTCACCTGAGGCTCCCACACCTGAGAATCTAACACCCAATAGGATCAAGAGCTTAGTGAGGTAGTGTCCCTTTTGTCATTCTGTGTGAAGCATGAAGCCGTGAGCCATGCCACTGTGTGTCTGACTTCCTTATCCGTCCCCTCACCCACATTAATAATATCAATATCATACGTCATTGTCAATAATAATATCATCATCAATATACACACACACACACACACACACACACACACCATCACACCAATGCACACACACACACACACGTCTTTTCACTGTCATTTACCAGCCAAAATTCCGTGAACTTTCATTACGTCGCAAATTAGGTAACTAATGAGAATCCTTTGATCGTTTACTCTTGAAGGGAACTTCTTGTCCGATGCCTGGTTAATGAGAGAGAGAGAGAGAGACAGAGAGAGAGAGAGAGAGAGAGAGAGAGAGAGTTTATAAAGTGAATCTCCCAAGTGCTAAATTCATTGTTGGTGGAGTCTCTTATTTACCACATGGATGTATACAGGTGGAGGTGAAGTGTACAGGTGGAGGTGAAGTGTACAGGTGGAGGTGAAGTGTACAGGTGGAGGTGAAGTGTACAGGTGGAGGTGAAGTGTACAGGTGGAGGTGAAGTGTACAAGTGGAGGTGAAGTGTACAAGTGGAGGTGAAGTGTACAGGTGGAGGTGAAGTGTACAGGTGGAGGTGAAGTGTACAGGTGGAGGTGAAGTGTACAGGTGGAGGTGAAGTGTGTTATCTGTGGAGAAGGGAGGTGTTGGGGGACTCCAAGCCTCAGTTACCTTGCCACTGGGTCCTGTGATCATATTGTTGGTTTGATCTTCTCCCTTCCTCCCTCTGTTGATGTTACTCCTCCACCCTCACCCCCCCCTCTCTTCATTTCTCTGTTTCTCTTTCTCTCTCTCTCCACACTTTCTCGTGTTATTCTCGTTGTTTATAATCCTCTTAGTACACTCTTACAAGATTAATCTTCTTTTTTTTTATGAAGTTGTATTTCTGAGAGAAACCCGACAACAGTTTGACTTTATTTTAACTGTGTGTGTGTGTGTGTGTGTGTGTGTGTGTGTGTGTGTGTAGAGATATCACCACTCTCACGTAACATATTCAATATATATTTTTCTCCACCGTAAATGGAATTTTTACTCAAATTCTAAAAATAATATTATGACTTTTTTTTACTGAATCAAACGTATGGTAGAAATGGAGGACTTTTTTAAATACATGTATAGATTCGATTCTTTTGTTACTCGGTTATTAAACTTTACTGTTAGGTTAGGTTAGGTTAGGTTAGGTTAAGCAGCTATAACGAGTTGGCTGATGAGGTTGTGTAGAAAAGGGAGAAAGCGAAATGGTTTTATTGCTGTATGTACGTTTCACTTTCCTTCACCGTCTAGTAATTGGATATTGTGTACAGTACGTGTGCTTGTTAAACTAAAGCTAGGTGGAGTTGTTGGTGCGTAGTTATCCTAGTTCTGATTGGTTGATGTGTATCTCGATGCTGTTTGATAATTCAGGCCTACTTAAAAATTATCTTTGTTGTGGTAGTGGCCAAAGTGAGGCGTGTACCAGCCAGACAGTACTTGAAAGATACCGCTAGACAACACCCCTCCCCTGTCTGCCACCTCTGAAAACCAAACAACAATAATACCCTCTCCCATGGATGTATTAACGATATACAACTGGGTATACAACTCATACACCTATTCCAGTCGTTGTTGCCATGGTAAACATAACTGTTGCTCCTCCCTCCCAGTTCATTCACAAGTTCCGTGGGCGTTCATTGATCGGGAGTTCATTCATGATTTTGGGCGCGTTTTCTGTTGCACACGCGCGTACGTCTTCCCTTACGCGTGGGGCCTCTGTCTTGGCAAGGGCGGCTTTAACTCTGCCTTCCGGGGAGACAAGGTCTGGGTTTTGGCGCTCTCTCTCTCTCTCTCTTTATGATTGTTTGATTCTCCTGGTGATTAGATTTACCTTCGCCATTTCATTCTATCTATCTATCTATCTATCTATCTATCTATCTATCTATCTATCTATCTATCTATCTATATGTGTGAAAATATGATAAACATAGCCAAATAAAACTTGACTATAATAAATAACCAAATCAATGAATAAAAACAAATGAAAGTAAAGGATTAAATAACATAAAAGAATAATTATAAAGAAAAAATAATTAATGACGAGAGAGAGAGAGAGAGAGAGAGAGAGAGAGAGAGAGAGAGAGAGAGAGAGAGAGAGAGAGAGAGAGAGAGAGAGAGAGAGAGAGAACCAATCTTACAAAAAAATTATTCATTCTCCCCCAGACGACACTGAAGAAGGCATAAGAGAAGCAGAGACGAAAATATACTGGATATGTTCACGTGAGGCTTCCTCTTCCTGTGTGTGTGTGTGTGTAGGTGTTCAGGGTAGAAGCCATCACGTGACTTACTACTGGTGGGACGGCAAAAAATATCACCACAATTACTTCCCTTAATTGTTTACATCCTGAACACAAAAGACAAAACAAAAGGGAGATATCTTACCTCTCTCTCTCTCTCTCTCTCTCTCTCTCTCTCTCTCTCTCTCACAGAACACCTCCAATAACTCACAGTTCACGTTAATGTTGGTCTGACCCTCGACGGGGGAGCTGGTAGCCAGATTGGTTGCCTCACATCTGATCGTCTCCTCGTTGTCAGAGGCGTTCACCTTCACCACAGCTCTTGCCTGGGTTACTGTCCCTACAGTCTGTACTTTAACCTTCTCCAACAGCTGGCTGCCTTTGTATAACCTGCAAGGAAGGAGAGAGATGGAGGGTTATATCATAGTGTGTGGAGGGAAGGAGTGTGTGCAGTACATGGAGGGTAAGGGGGTAGAAGGGAAAGGGGGTAGTTAAGAAGTAGGGGAAAAAAGGGAGAGTTAAGGGGGGAGGTTAAGGGAGTAGGAAGGAAAGGGAGAGTTAAGGGTGTAGAAGGGAAAGTATAAGTGAAGGAATATGGAGGTCAGGTAGTAGGTGATGTCAAGGAAGAACTGCCACTCGAAGATGTACGAGGTCAAGAGATCATCAAGGGTGAGCCAGATGAGTCAACGAGGAGCAAACAATAACTAGGGAAGGAAAACAAAACAAGACGAAAAATAAGGGAAAAAGTGACGCTGTAAAATATAAACAGAGAAGTAAGGTCGGTTAGGAGTTGTCTTGTGGTAGTTAGAGGTCAGAGTTGTTATCTTGTTTGTGATTGGTTCATATCACAGAATTTGGCGAGAAATTATTGACCTCCTTAAGCTTGTTAAACGACCAAGAATCTTCGTCTCTTACCCTAAAGGTCAGAGGGTCCTGTTATGGTAAGGTTATTGTTAGGTTAGTTATGAGATGATTAAGATGATCTGTCCACCGTGTGTGTTATTGGTGAGTGATTAGTAGGAGGTGGTGAGGCGTACACAGTGGCAGTAGGTCAGTATGGGTCTGGGAAGTTTTATATTTTTATTCAAAGTTTGACTCGTAACCAAAACGTTCTTAAGTTTCTCTCGTGCCTTTGTATTTGCCACGTCTTTGTTTACTTTAGTCTAAATTAAATATATCTAATTACGGTTTATTATCGTGTGGATTTTTCTGCCGTTTGCTCCCATTATTTATTTAATTAAGATTATTCCTAAAACTCGTTATGATGTTATAGATTCTGGGTTGTGTTGTGCTTGATTCCTGACGTGATTTAGTAAACACACGCTGATGCTTGTTGCTCGGGAATGTTTACACAACATTCGCCAGCATGAAGCCCTCCTCAGTAGTAAACAGATCTTCAAAGCTGCGTGACTGAGAACTCTGAGTTATGTATGTGTGTTTTGGTGCGTCCGGCTATGTGATCACTGGTCGACCTGTACCTAAAGTTCACGGGTTCATGTTTACGACCATTAAATCATAGTTAAATCTCCTCTAAATATGTTAATGTTAAGATAAAGTTCATAGCCTCGTATTTCTTATTAGTTTTCCTTAGTTTAGGATGAGTGAATGCTCCTGGACACCAGCCGCCTCACCACACCAGAGGAACCAACAACGAGGTTCATGTTTACTGAGATGAATATACAGTCATTAAACCTTGAACACCGACCATATTGTATAACCACATCATCTGGCAGGTTTCTCTTATTGCCACAAGTGAGTGAGCTCGACCTTTCAATTAAGATCCATAATACAGTGAGTATTTACCTGTACACGTCACCTCTGCCACAGGTAAATTGTGAGTATTTACCTGTACACGTCACTTCTGCCACAGGTAAATGGTCACAGCAGAAGCATGGAGTTACCATTAAGTCTTAGAGCAAATATTAATCTAGTTATTTAGGTGCTGTTTATATCTACGTTGTATAGATGTGTTCTCTTGTCCTTGGCTTGGGGGACGAAATGATAAATGAATCTTTTTTTTTAAACCAAGACGACCACAGGAAGATCATACGCCATATTGTGTTGTGATTCTCAAAGGTTCTCAAGTCACTCTCTAACCCTCTCTTGAGACACATATAACTAACCACCTAACACAAAAGCAACACAAACTTCACCTCATAACTACGTTTATCTTCTCTCAAGTTCGGAGAGAAAATGTGATATCAGATACGAGTGACTGAACGCCAGGACAACAGGTAAACTTCCAAGGTAAAATGTGTGAGTCTGAGTATGAATGGAAACTATGTTGATGATAATAACATGTGAGGGTGAGGAGAACACTTCCGGTATACAGGTACAGGTACACACGTGACAGCAGACCACAGATGACCTAAACACTGCAGGTAACGTGAACTTGTGTAGTATATTGACAGTCAGTGAAATAAGCATGAGACAGGAAACAGAATTATTTATACACTATGTTCACACACACACACACACACACACACACACACACACACACACACACACACACACACACACACACACACACTAGGTACGTACTTGAGGTCAGGACTGGGGTTGCCGCCGCGGGAGGTACAAAGAACAATCACTTTATCGCCAGCCACAGCTTCATCAGTCTCCACCTCCACCACGGGCAGTCCTGGGCGCTCTGAAACACAGGGAACCTCTCGTCAGCATAAACATTAAAGGAACGATGGTGTAAATGTTTGGTGACTCTTAAGAATGAGAGAGAGAGAGAGAGAGAGAGAGAGAGAGTAGAAGAAGAAGAAGAAAAATAAACACGAAACTAACTTGAAAGACAGGAACTATAAGAGGTAACAAACAGATAGATAGATATTTAATAATGGTTGATAACAGACTAAAACATCACGTGTAGCTTTAATAGTCAATAATGTGGGAGAAAGTCAGACACACAATCCCTCCAAATTGTTTAAGAAAATTGGATTAGTTATGTTAATTTATCTTAATAGGAAACTGACTGTCTCTTTCTTTCTGTCTCTCACTGTCTATATGTCTCTCTTATTTTCACATTCTCTATCTGTCTATCGAAACCTCTCCCTGTCTTTCTCTCTCTCTTATCCTCTACTTCTTCTTTATTCTTTTTCTTATTCTATCCCCCTCTCTCTCTCTCTCTCTCTCTCTACAACAAAACACACACACACACACACACACACACACACACACACACACACAACAGGTAGTTTCATCAGAGCCAATAGACACAGGTGCCATTGGAGCCTTCACTTCAACACGACAGGTAAACTCGGACGAATTTGATCAACAATTACCTGGGACTCTTTATAACTCTCAAAATACATATTGTAATGATAACAATGGATTCTGGCTCAAAAAATGCGTCCTATTGTTACTCTTTGTGATATATATATTATTTTTTAATGTAAATGTGAATAATTTCTTTCACAGTGACGTCAATCAACTTGTAAACACATACATACTGTACATATTTACATACATACATACATAGACACACACACATAAACCCTCACACACACACACACACACACATACATACATACATAGACACACACACATAAACCCTCACACACACACACACACACACACACACACACACGGCATCTCAATAAAGCAGCAGAGATGAAGGAAGCGCTGCCTTGGGCGGAGGGAGGAAGAGGGGTGGAGGAAGAGGGGAGGAGGAACGGGAGGAGGGATGTTAGGGAGGAGGGTTGGAGATGGAGGGGGAGGTAAGGAAAGGACGGGAGGAGGGATGGAGGGAGGGTGGAGGAGTGGATAGAGGAAGGGAAGGAAGAGGGACGGGAGGAAGGGTGGAGGGAGGGATTTTGGAGGAGAAAATGGGGAGGAAAAGGTAGAGAGGGGAGTGAAGGGGTACAGGAGGAGGGAGGGAGAGTGGAGGGAAGAGGAAGTCCAATATGAACCAAAAGCGAGACATTTTTATATATATATATGCACATAACTCGGACTTTTTCCCTACACTCGTATATAAAAAATCATTCATTCATTCTCAATTCTTTTTTCTTTACTGAAATTGAAGTTTTATTTTTCACTCTGATTTTTGTGTAGTGAAGTTTTATCCGAGGGTCTTATCTTTAACTTATCTATCTACCAGCTATGAATTTTATAGTTTGTGTGTACTACTGAGTCTAACAAATGCTTCTGGTAGGAACGAATTACCTAATATATATGAATTATGTTTATGTATGTAATGACTGGCAAGGTTATATGTGCCTCCTTATCCCCTCCCCCACACCCCCACCCACACCCCAACCCCCACCCACACCCCCACCCCACACCACTACCTCCTCATATGTTCCGTCCGCCGAGGCAAGTTTGTGTTACCCCTGGCCAAGTCATATCAAAGGCTTCTCTCCTAAAAGTTAAAGTTTTAATTACTAGCTTCCAATAACCGACGAACTACAGGCTGTGTGTGTGTGTGTCTTGGTTCAGAGTTTATGTACAAGCAAACAAAAGTCTTCTCTCAACCTAAAAATTTCCTATAAAAGTCAGAAGTCTCCAGAACGATGAGAATTCTTTGTTAACGATGGGAATTTTTTGGTTAACGATGATGGCGTGTTTTACGTTAATGAGACAGAATTAATGAGGATGACTTTATATGGAGGTGATGAACGAGGTACTGAGAATACGCGCGTGTGTGTGCGTGTGTGTGTGTGTGTGTGTCAAGCCAAGCAAGAAGCTCCGACCAAACATTTCTTCACACTCTTAATATTTTCATTAGCTTATAACATATTTTTTAATTCCCGTAAGATCAATAACTAACTCATTTCTATATCATTAAACAGTACGAATCTATAAACTAATGGCTATATTTATTTATATTTTAATGTTGTATAATTATGAGAATATTATAGACTCATTGGGGGGGAAATTATAGTAGTAAATAATATGCGTCACAAGACAGTCGGTGAGGATATGCAATACCCTGAGCATATTCAGTGTTAGTGAGTATGACATTGTTGCAAATATATCGTCTAATAGCAAATGATTTTAAAGGCATAGTCTAATAGTAAATAGCACAGGTTTTTTATTGTGTGTTATCGTTTGTTATTGTTTTAATGGTTTAATGCTGTATTAAACTTTTGTGTTATGGTAAAATATTGTCTTGTGGGAATAATAGCAATATCCTATAGATGGTAAGGAGAAGACTCTGATGGTAAATGGCATCAAATTCTTCTTAAGGAGGAATTGTTTAACCCTAAAGTGCTATTACGTGTACTAGCTGGAGAGGTTAATAGCATTAGATAATATTTCCCGGGGGAGATATTTTAGCGAGAAATAAATATAGTTACTCATATTATTTTTTAGCGTAAAATAGCGATAACTATTCATAATTTTCAGGAGAATAAGGATATATTTTCACATTTCAAGACAAAAATATCGCTAAATGTTCGTATTTTAGCGAGAAATAGTGTTTAGTTTACGATTTATTTAAACGAGAGATGGCGCTGTATGCTAGGACGGCAAGCAGGCCAGGCAGCAGCAGCAGTCCGTCAGTCAGTACCACTTGTTGCTCGCTGCACTACACAACCCTCCCTCATGCTTCATCTTTAACCCGAGTCATGAGCCTCGACCACCCTGCATAGCGTCGTTCTCTCTCTCTCTCTAGCTCTCTTTCCCTCCCTCTCAAGTCCTCTTCTTACCCTCCCTCCCTCTCTTCTTCTCTCACCCCTGCCTCCCACATCCTACTTCACCTTTCCCTCTCTCACCTGTCACCCGCTTCCACCCTCTTTCTCCATCCATCCATCTATATAGTTATCTCCATCTATCTCTCTTGTGTCTTTACATATCTATATATCTACTCACCCATTCATCCATATATTTCTATCTCTTACCATCCAATCTCTCTCACTCTCTCTCACTCACTCTCTCACTTACCGAGGATGTTAATGACGTGGGTCCGTGATACGCCCCTGAGAGAAGCAGAATTGTCCGCCCTACATTCCACCTTTGTCTCCTTATCGTTGTGTTGCTTGATTAGTTTTCGGGTGAGCTTGGAAGCGGTGACCCAGCCTCCCTCCTTGTCCTCAGTCACCATCGATGTAGCTGAACTGACTGACTTGCCTGGTGAGGGATAGAAGAGAAGGAGGAGGATGTTTTATGCTTTTGTGGTAGAGAGAGAGAGAGAGAACAGCATTGAAAAATATCATAGACAGACAAACAGACAGACAGACAGAAAAAAGACAGAAACAAGGCATAAAAAAGAGTTTATAAAAATTGATAAACATAATTATAAGCCAAACCCCCAAAAATGGACGTATTAATGTTAAATAAAGGGAGAATGAAACGAGGGAATAGCAGAGATAAATAAACGAGAAAAATGAAACAAGACAAGAGGATAGAGGAACAGCGAACGAGGGAGAGACTTATCACTGGTAAAAGCGAATGAAAGATTTTGTCAAGGCTTATAAAGGGGGAGATGTTACTCTGATATGAACCTTGGGTCGTGTTGGCTCAAAGGGGGAAGTTGTTTGTCTGTGTGTGTGTGTGTGTGTGTGTGTGTGTGTGTGTGTGTGTGTGTGTGTGTGTGTGTGTATGTGTGTACACGAAAGGGGAAGAGTGTGGGTGAAAGAGATAATAGATTAGGAGAGAGAGACAGAGAGAGAAAGTGAGAGAGAGAGAGAGAGAAATCTCCTTCCTTTAATAAAACTACAAAAAAATAAATAAAATATACCCCCTCTGGCAATTGACAATAACAAAAAAATAAATAATCACTTTCCTCCCCCACACATGAGCAAGTCACCTGGAAACTGCCTTTTACACTTACCTTGAACGATCCAGGTGATAGTGGCAGGGGGGTTAGCAGGTGCAGTAACACAGGTAAGGGTGTACTCCTCATCAAGGGCTACAGCGGCTGGCCCAGTAATGTCAACACGAGTGGGAGGATCTGTAACGAGATATAGTCAAGATTAGGTTAGGTTAGGTTAGGTTAGGTTAGGTTAGATTAGGGTTAGGTTAGATTAGGGTTAGGTTAGATTAGGGTTAGGTTAGGCTAGGTTAGGTTAGATTAGGGTTAGGTTAGATTCGGGTTAGGTTAGATTGGGTGAGAGTGAAGGGGTGAATTTTAGTCTTTTACACAAACAAAATAAAAGCTTAGTCTTCCAAAATAAGTACAGGTTACAAAAAATAAAACGTGTTATATTTAGGTACAGGTTACATAGAGGAGGAAGTCGCTATCTCAAGGTCCAGGTTACATAGAGGAGGAAGTCACTATCTCTAGGTCCAGGTTACACAGAGGAGGAAGTCACTATCTCAAGGTCCAGGTTACATAGAGGAGGAAGTCACTATCTCTAGAGTCCAGGTTACTAGAGGGAGGAAGTCGCTATCTCAAGGTCCAGGTTACACAGAGGAGGAAGTCACTATCTCTAGGTCAGGTTACACAGGGAGAGGGTCCAGGTTACACAGAGGAGGAAGTCGTCTAGGTCCAGGGAGGGAGGAAGTCACTATCTCTCTATCAGTTACACAGAGGAGGGTACAGGTTACATAGAGGAGGAAGTCGCTATCTCAAGGTCCAGGTTACATAGAGGAGGAAGTCACTATCTCTAGGTCCAGGTTACACAGAGGAGGAAGTCACTATCTCAAGGTCCAGGTTACATAGAGGAGGAAGTCACTATCTCAAGGTATACTGTAGGTACAGACCCTCGGATATAACGGACTTTCCTCTATATATAGTCCGTTAATTAGAGGTTTCACGGTAAATAGCGAACATTATCCCGAACACAGATTAAGTGAAGGATTGGAGGTATGGATTGGTGATTAGCGTTAACGACCTGATTGTAACACCTCTACAGTATACAGACAAAGAGAGAGACAGACAGACAGAGAGACAGACAGAGAGACAGACAGACAGGAAATAGATTCAGAAACTATGGAGAGACATTGAGCTGCTTTGTCATGTCTCAGGTGTTAGTGCTAATTAAAGGTGAGGCAGTGTACCTAGCTAACCAGCCAGCCAGGCAGGTCACCTTACGACAAGCAGAATAAAACACGTGAACTATTGTGTCAAAGATCAGGTAAAGGGGTAATCTTTAGGTCATTTTTTGTCGTAAGATTAGTGAGAACCTCTGAGAAGCTATTCCTCTATGACGTAGATTAAGTTATCCAATTACAAAAAGTTCTCAGACTTCCAATATTGAGTCAGTGTAACATAAGTACCCTTGAGAAACTCTTTATGATGAAATTAATTTAGTCAGATGGGTATTCGCATTACTCGGTTAAATGGAAAATTCAACTTAGTATAATGTTAGAATACGACTTTAAGGAAATTGTCTTATATTTCCCCTTATGAAGAAAATATAACAAGTCTTGAAGTTTAGTGAAAATAGATCAGGTTACAGAGGTTAATGATATGTGGTAGGGAGAGGACCACTAATAATGTGAGTCTTCTTATATTGTATTTGGTTTTGATAGAATTTCTCTGGTTGGTTTATGGTGAAGACTTGGCTGCGAACGATGGCTTATATAGTTCTGATGGCGTATGGTGAGGTGGTGTACAGTGACAAGTTAGCTCTCTCTCTCTCTCTCTCAACTTACAGTGGACGGTGAGGGTGACGTTGATGGTGTAAGGCCTGGTGAGGAGGTCACTAGAGACGCGACACTCGTACACAGCGCCGTCCTCCTCCCTTGAAGCGGTCACTTGCTGGCTGACGAAGACGCCGCCAGAGGCTCTCATCTGTCTGGCAGGGTAGGCGCTGGTCACCGTGCCGTTATTCTTGATGCGGTTGTTGGCGGCGTTGTTGAGGGGACGCCCATGACGGTACCAGATGACCCATGGGCTTGGGTTACCTCCCAGCACGTGGCAGACGATAAAGCGACTCTCTCCTGAACGAAGGACTTCACCTGTTCTGTACTCGCTAATTACAGGTCGACCTGGTGGATCTGTGCAGGTAAGAGATATTATGTTAGGAAAAACTCTTGATTATATCTTTCGAGTTATAAAGCTAAAAAAGTGATCTGATTTAATGTATAACTTCAAAGAATTGGTAAAGAGATCTGATATAATGCCCCCAGCCGCCACACACACTGTAGATAAACCTAAACTTTGTGAGGAGGAAAAAAGTTGAAGTTTCCTGTTATTATATCAACCGAGAGAGACCTGTGTGTTGTGGCTCCCTGGCCGTCGATGGTCAGTGAGTCACCAGCGATATTAATTATCAGACACATCATGGAGGGTCATAGACGCATATATAAATTTCAAGGAATTACATTAAACGTCTCCTTGAATGTTTTGATGGCAGACGACAAGGATGAGGGTGTGTTCTAGCGGGTTATTCTGGGTGATGTAACCAACACAGTTCCTTCAACATGACGGTGTACGTGTGTGGTAGAAGACTTCCAGGAACAATGATAATAAGAACGTGTTGTGTAAACTCCTTCTGGGTATAATCATTGCGACACTCATTAGTATTCACTGGTAAAACATTCATTATATCTTTGTGAGGTAACTGAATGTGTAATATATTACGACGATATACAGGCTGCAGGCGCCTAGTGGATACAGTACTGGCATTGTGTCCTAAAGTCCGCTGGTTCGATTCTGGGGTCTCTCTTACTCCACCCAGCTGTAAATGGCTACCTAAAAATTGGGGTTACTATTGGTCTTTATCTTCATATCTTGAGGATCAACGTCTACCGCCTATTATTGATAAGGCACAATTATCTCACGCACTTGATACACCTTCAACAGTGAGTCAGGACAAAAGTTACGGTGTTACGGAAAAAAACACAACGTGGGCGCCACCGTTTGAGTCTCGTTAATAAGACACAGATCACTTTCCTTTGTCAGGTTCCTGGAAGCCGTCAACCTCTGCCTCTCATTCATTCCTAGAGTCTTAAAACTAAATCATCACCAATATTCTCTCTTTGTCCCTGTCTCTCTTTCTCTCAATCATCTTTTTAATTACTTCAATGAATAATTTAAAGCATTACTGTTGTTACGGATTTTTTATTTATCTGAATAGAGTTTTTTAGTTATGTCGATATTTGCCTCCAATTAACAAACAGACGATGACCGAAAAAATATGATGAAAACACAGAAGAAAATACCATTGATAAAAATACTTGATACAGCAGTGATGTGTAAAGTGAAGGACCGTGGCAGAATTATTTTAGAACAAACACAGACAGACAGACAGACAGACAGACAGACAGAAAGACAGACAGACAGACAGCACATGAAGTATGAATTGGGTCAGTAAATGAATCATTGTAGAGAGAGGGCAGAGTGTTGCACGAGTTGCCATGGGAACGTGAGAAGGCATTTTGTGACAGAGGTAGATTGACATACTAAGCCTCAGTTTACACCTCACCCAAGTCTCTGATGCATTTTACTGCAGGATATAATGAAGCCGACGTTTACTGCAAGATATAATGAAGTCGACGTTTACTGCTGGATATAATGAAGCCGACGTTTACTGCTGGATATAATGAAGCTAACGTTTACTGCAGGATATAATAAAGCTGACGTTTACTGCTGGATATCATGAAGCTAACGTTTACTGCAGGATATAATGAAGTCGACGTTTACTGCAGGATATAATGAAGCCGACGTTTACTGCTGGATATAATGAAGCTAACGTTTACCGCAAGATATAATAAAGCTGCCAGGAAAAGTGTTAACTAAAGACACCGTAACACCGGACACTCACGGAAGACAGCGAGGTTGACGGACGCGATGATGGGACTAGTGGAATACTTGAGGGCGGGGTGGATGGCCCTGCAGGAGTATTTGCGGCCGTCATCACCAGACTGAGGCCGTAGGTGCAGGTGACTCCTCATATTCCACATCCTGGCGTGTTGTCCAGGCTCGACTACTTCCTGGTGACGGCCTGACGGTGATGATACAGTGAAGTGAGTTTGTTAGGAAGACAAGAAAACACACGAGAGATGCGTAAAATCTGAAGAAAATAGAAACACGAGAATTTTGCACTTTAGCTAATGTAGTGTGTGTGTGTGTGTGTGTGTGTGTGTGTGTGTGTGTGTGGGTGTGGGTGTGTGTGTGTGTGTGTGGACATACTGTTTTTGTGTTAGTATTTGTTATTGTTGTTGTTAAATTACGGTTTCTTTTTATTTGTTTTCTTACCAATTTTGTATTGAAAAATAAAAAAAATTGTTTATGGTGGCCTAGAAGATCTGTAACTTACATAAATCAACATAAACAAGGACTGTAACTTACATAAATCAACATAAACAAGCAGGTGACTTACTTCGGTCAATCCTTATGTTGTCTCTGTACCAAGCGACAGTAGGGGCTGGTCGGGCATCAATCACCAGGCATTCTAGCTTGAGTTTGGATCCTTCCATGACCTCCACCAGGGCGCCGTCACCCCAGCCCACCATCACGATACTTGTGGGTGGCACTGTCGAGAGGGAGAGAGATAAGGGAAGTTATTGGAGGGAAGTAGGAGGGTAGGACTGTCATGTGTGAGGGTGACGGAGATAAAGGAAGTTACTGAAGGGAAGTAGGAGCGTGGGACTGTCGTGTGTGAGGGTGACGGAGATAAAGGAAGTTATTGGAGGGAAGTAGGAGGGTAGGACTGTCGTGTGTGAGGGTGACGGAGATAAAGGAAGTTACTGAAGGGAAGTAGGAGCGTGGGACTGTCGTGTGTGAGGGTGACGGAGATAAAGGAAGTTACTGAAGGGAAGTAGGAGCGTGGGAGAGGGAAGTAGGAGAGGGAAGTGTGTTTTCAGTTCCTGTATTTATAAATGAAGTTGTGTTTTGTTATTCTAGAAATGACAGTCAACATAAACTCTCATTATTTACCAACATAACGCACTGACATGTAACCACTATCTACCACCACTAACCTTCCCACACCTACCACCATCACCACCACCACTAACCTTCCTACACCTACCACCATCACTACCACCACTAACCTTCCTACACCTACCACCATCACTACCACCACTAACCTTCCTACACCTACCACCATCACCACCACCACTAACCTTCCTACACCTACCACCATCACCACCACCACTAACCTTCCTACACCTACCACCATCACTACCACCACTAACCTTCCTACACCTACCACCATCACTACCACCACTAACCTTCCTACACCTACCACCATCACCACTAACCTTCCTACACCTACCACCATCACTACCACCACTAACCTTCCTACACCTACCACCATCACTACCACCACTAACCTTCCTACACCTACCACCATCACTACCACCACTAACCTTCCTCCTCTATTACTACTAACCTAACCTAACCTAACCAATGACTCACCCATAACAGTAACGTTGGCACCGGACCAGATTGCCTCGTTAGTGGTACTAGGTCCTACTTGGCACTGGTACTCTCCATCGTCCTCGAGGGTGGCACCACGGATGACCAAATGGTGTTCGCCGGTCTCTTCGTCACCCACATACTGGTACCGAGGATAACCAGGTACCGTCCGTTCAAACCCTACCGAGGAGAAAACAGTATAGGTTAGGTTAGGTTAGGTTTTTAATATGAGGAGGAGGAGGAGTAGGAGGAGGGGTAGGAGGAGGAGGAGGAAAATACTGATGACTTTCCAAACCACAGATTAAACCATCATAAGCCATAGACTCACGAATCATGACGAGACTATAAGAAACTTAAACCTTTATAAGTCAATCAACAAACAATAGACTATCGCAAGTATCCAGGGAGTCTCAAGAGCAGGAACAGTAGCGAAGGTAATATACACTCAGTCAGGGAGTCTCAAGAGCAGGAACAGTAGCGAAGGTAATATAGTGAGCGAGGCGGCACTCAGTCAGGGAGTTATGAAATTCCTTCCTCGGCGTTTACACGAAGATTCTTTAGGAATGTTGTGAATGTTGGACGCCAGTTATTGTAGGTGCTACGATACATGAACACAAGCTTGCCAGGTATTGTAGGCGCTGCGATACAACAACTCTGAAGATCCCATCATTATTTACTCGTGGTGAAAGCGAAGTGAAAATTGGTCATAGACTGTGGCCGTAAGCTGAGTTAGAGGCAGTGCGGATACAGTACACTGCATGCACAAGAGACAGACAGTATGGCCGGTGCTGTATCCCATTACCTTCATTGTCTCAATTGTAAAGTTTGATATCCACTTACTTACTTACTTACTTACTTACTTACTTACTTACTTTACTTATTTACTTACTTAATTGTAAATATTGTACCTGTGTTTGTACCTGAGCTTGTAACAGGCGTATTGGTCTTTGATATTTTTTTATATAATTTCGATAACACATTATAATGACCCGGAAAATACTGTACTGATAACTGTACTAAACTTGCATAGGTGTTACGTTCCCTTAATCCTCCTCTACGTTAACCTTTAATCGGTAAAACACCAACTAAATAACTAATCTAAACATAAAAAAAACACTTCTTAAATATCTATAAATATCGATTTTTGGAAGCCATTTGTTCCTTCAAGTCAATTCTCACGTTTTTCAATTTTCTTTCGTGTAGGAATGTTAAGTGGTGCTCCGTGGTAAACACTACTCCATAAGGGTTGGTCGAGGTTTATAATGAGAGGTGAATGTATAAAGGCTGAACAATAATAAGACAGGAAACTCTCCCCAGCGCCATCTACCAGTAATCTCCCCAGCGTCATCTACCAGTAATCTCCCCAGCGCCATCTACCAGTAATCTCCCCAGCGCCATCTACCAGTAATCTCCCCAGCGCCATCTACCAGTAATCTCCCCAGCGCCATCTACCAGTAATCTCCCCAGCGCCATCTACCAGCGCCATCTACCAGTAATCTCCCCGGCGCCATCTACCAGTAATTAATCTCCCCCAGCGCCATCTACAGTAATCTCCCCAGGCGTCATCTACCAGTAATCTCCTCCAGCGCCATCTACCAGCTAATCTCCCCAGTGTATCTGCAGTAATCTCCCAGCGCCATCTGCCAACCCAATCTCCCCAGTGTCTACAGTAATCTCTGGCGCCATCTACCAGTAATCTCCCAGCGCCATCACCAGTAATCTCCCCAGCGTCTCATCTACCAGTATTAATCTCTAGCGTCATCTACCAGTAATCTCCCCAGCGTCATCTACCAGTAATCTCCCCCAGCGCCATCTACTGGCAGTATGGCGACTAATCTCAGCTCCACACAACACGTAACATTGCCCCACGTTGCTCTCTCTCTCTCTCTCTCTCTCTCTCTCACCAAAATTCACTAAAATCGGAAACGTCACTGGGGGGTGACCACAGTGTCCATAAGGTTTAATTTCACATACCGGTAACAGTCTGGCCTCTTATAATTCTCTGTATTCACAGAATTAGAGAGAGGAGAACAAAGAGGGAGAGGGTGAAGGAGGAGTCGGGGGAAGGTGAATTGCATTGTGTTTCCGCAATTGATTAGATATTTCTTAAGGTACAGAGCAGCTGCGGTGGGGAGGGGGGTGGGAAGGAGGAAAGAGAGACAGAGAGAGAGAGACAGAGAGAGAGAGAGACAGAGAGACAGAGAGAGACAATAGAGACTCTCCTCTTTAACTCTCACACCTCCATTGTCTCATCAACTAATATTTATTCATTTTTTTTCCTACATCAAACTCCTATCAATGCGGTGTTAACTTTTCTACACGAGGTGAATGTCACAGTTCGTCCTGGTAAAAAAAAAAATAATAATAATAATTACTCCCCGCAACACAGAGGTAGAACAATTGTGTTGATTTGTATAGATGTAATATAAAATGTATTGATAAAAAAAAAACACAAAAATGTTGGTCTGTTTCTTATGAGTTACAATGAGGGGTGGGAAAAAAGTTTAGTATTTATGGCTACTATGAAATCAGACATTATTCCTCACGTGTGTTATAGATCGATGTCTGAATTGATGGATTTTATTGTGTGTTTATAATGCCTGTGTGTTGGGGGCATTGTTGAGTCAGACAATAACACCGTGTTCTTCCTATACGATAACTATACTGAAATTATTTTTGGTGTTTGTGAAATAAAGTTGAAATTATATAATATACGTCATCCAGTTCTTTATAATGGGGGTTAGATGGATTAATATATACTTATATAACTGTAATTACACACAGATATATAAGAACATTGTTTATTTCAACCGTAACCTAACCTAACCTCTATCTCTCTCTCTCTCTCTCTCTCTCTCTCTCTCTCTCTCTCTCTCTCTCTCTCTTGATCTTGATCTTGATCTTCTTGCTAAATTAAATCCTCTTTAAATCTCGCTGTGTATGACTAAGGAAAAAAAAGAACACAGTGACCCTCTATAAAACACACACACACACACACACACACACACACACACACACATACACACACACACACACACCTCCAGGAATGAAAGCAAGGAGGGTGGTAAGAGGGAAGTGAGACAGCAGCTAGAATGGTGAGTGGGAGGTGAGTGGGAGGTGATGAGGGGGAAGTGAGGAAGGGAAAGTGAGGAGAGGGGTGAGGGGGAGGTGAGGGGGAGGGGAAAAATTCAGGTCAATACCCAGAATGTCATGACACTAACACCTTCATAAACGACAACATTACCGAGAACAGATTCATTTACACAGTTGATAAATGCAATACCAGGAACCAATCAACACATCAAATAAGTCTTTGATCAAAACATCTAAACTAACCTAACCTAACCTAACCTAACCTAACCTAACCTAACCTAACCTAACCTAACCTAACCTAACCTAACCTAACCTAACCCTTCCAGATAGCTTTAGGGTATTTGAATATCACTTGAAAATATCTTGGATGAATTTTAACCATACTAAACGACAATTCCAGTATGATAAACGACTTTTACCATACTAAACGACAATCCCAGTATGATAAACGACTTTAACCATACTAAACGACAATCCCAGTATGATAAACGACTTTAACCATACTAAACGACAATCCCAGTATGATAAACGACCTTAACCATACTAAACGACAATCCCAGTATGATAAACGACCTTAACCATACTAAACGACAATCCCAGTATGATAAACGACTTTAACCATACTAAACGACAATCCCAGTATGATAAACGACTTTAACCATACTAAACGACAATCCCAGTATGATAAACGACCTTAACCATACTAAACGACAATCCCAGTATGATAAACGACCTTAACCATACTAAACGACAATCCCAGTATGATAAACGACTTTAACCATACTAAACGACACATCCTTGATTTTGTTGTTCTCTTTCTTCTTCGTTTTGTTGTTGTTCTTGTTCTTCCTTCGTGTTGTTGTTATTATTGATCTTCTTGTCCTTGTTCTTGTTCTTCCCCAATTACGGTAACCAAACTCAAGTCAACACTCATTATTTTCCACACAGTTCAAAATTATTTCATGTCGAATTTTCTAGAGAATTTCGCAACAATTAATTTCGGCAAACTGAATATTTAAAATAATGAAGGAGATGTCTGAGCTATTATCTAAATGAATTGTTTGTTTGTTTCGTAGAGTGTTTTTTGTCATTTATTTCTCATACGTTATGTCTCAATATCCAAGGTAACATAACCTAACCTAACCAACTTTCACCCAGTCGAGGAGATGATAAAGATATTGAATACGTTACCAGGAAATGCAATATGTTCTCATTAGACTGATGACAATGTCGTAATTGCACCACCACCACACCACCACCACCGCACCGCCACCACCACCACCTACCACCACCACCACACCGCCGCCTACCACCACCGCACACCACCACCACCGCCGCCGCACGCACGCACCCGCCGCCCCACCACCACCACCACCACCACCGCCACCACGCCGCCACCACCACCACCACCACCACCACCACCAACACCACCCACCACCACCACTACCGCCACCGCCACCACCCACCACCACCACCACCACCACCACCACCACCACCACCACCGCCATACCACACCGCCACCGCCACCCCGCCACCGCCACCACCACACACACACACACCTACCGCCACCTACCACCACCATCACCACCACCGCCACCACCACCACCACCACCCCGCCACCACCACCACCACCACCACCACCACCACCACCACCACCACCACCACCACCGCCCATACGCCGTCGCCATATACCGCCGCCGCCATCACGCCACCACCACCACCACCACACACACACCACCACCACCACACACACTATCACCACCACCCACCACCACCACTATCACCACCACCACCACCACCATCACCACCACCACCACCACCACCATCACCACCACAAATCACCACCACCACCACACACCGCCACCACCCACCACCACCACCACCACCACCACGGAGCGTCTTGAACAATAGTGAAGATAATAACCTAATTATGTATGCATGAGGGTGCAGGCACGATGATCAAGGGGGTAATATGTCTTCTCAGGAGAAATCTTGTGCAACAGAGATATACAGACAGAGAAAGAGACATAGAGACAAAAGGACAGACATAAAGATAAAGAGACAGACAGAAAGACAGACAGACAGAG